GCGTCAGCGCGAATGCTTTTTTGCCGCTCTTGATCATGCGCAATAAAGGTCTTTGCAAGCTCTCGACATTCTTCAGCAAGCTTGGCTGTAGCAGAAATAGTTGCCCACTCAGACGGATCTGGCCTGTACGGAAGTATCGTGTCGATGGTGTGTGACGGGTGCCTTCCATATAATAAAAAGAAAGGTGAAAAGCCAGTAGTGCTCTGAGGGGCGGTATTATATGCGTAGGTGACGAAGGGTAGAATGGAATCCCAATTTGTGTGATCGGCGGCGACGTATTTGGAGAGCATGTCGCCCAGCGTACGGTTGAAGCGTTCTGTGAGGCCATTCGTCTGCGGGTGGTAAGCAGCAGTTTTGCGGTGAACAACGTTGCACTCTTTGAGAATGGCTTGAACGACTTCAGACAGGAAGACACGGCCTCGGTCACTGAGAAGTTCCTGGGGTGGGCCGTGTCGCAGAATGAATCGTTGGAGCAGAAAGGAAGCCACATCGCTCGCTGTAGCCGCGGGAAGAGCGGCCGTTTCGGCATATCGCGTGAGGTGGTCCACAGCAACAATGGCCCAGCGGTTACCAGCCGACGTTAGTGGGAGTGGCCCATACAAATCAATGCCAACGCGCCCAAACGGCCTGGCAGGGCAAGGTAGAGGTTGCAGACCTACCGGCGACAGGTGCGTTGAAGTTTTGCGGCGCTGACATTCTATGCAGGAGCGAACAAATTTCTGCACGTAGCGGTACATGCCGCGCCAAAAGTACCGTTGGCGAATGCGGTGGTACGTCTTCGATACCCCGGAGTGCGCACACTGCGGATCAGAATGAAATAATTCGCATATGTCAGAGCGCAGACTGCGAGGTATGACTAGTAGCCACTGGCGGCCGTCACCGTTGTAATTGCGTCGATGGAGGAGGTCGTCGCGAACGGCGAAATGGTGGGCTTGACGACGCAACGCGCGAGTGGATGGAGTGGATGGATCAGTCAGCAAGTCTATCAGTGAGGCAATCCATTGATCCTTGCGCTGTTCAGTAGCAATAGCATGAATGCTAATCGAAGAAATGGCAAGGTGAGACACTGAGTTGGCGTTGTCGTCAGGCAAGGGAGAGCGCGACAGGGCGTCGGCGTCAGCATGTTGCCTTCCATTGCGGTACAGCACGCGGATGTCATAGTCTTGCAGGCGAAGTGCCCACCGGGCGAGACGGCCTGAGGGATCTTTCAATGACGACAACCAGCATAGTGCGTGGTGGTCGGTGACGACATCAAATGGGCGACCATACAAATAAGGTCGGAACTTTGCAAGGGCCCAGACGATTGCCAAACATTCTTTCTCGGTGACTGTGTAATTAGTCTCGGCTTTAGTAAGCGTACGGCTCGCGTACGCCACGACATATTCCGGGAACCCTGGTTTGCGCTGCGCAAGGACAGCGCCGAGGCCGACACCACTGGCATCCGTGTGTACCTCTGTAGGGGCCGTAGGGTCGTAGTGGCGGAGTATGGGAGGCGACGTCAACAAACGACGAAGTGTTCTGAAAGCGTCGTCGCACTGTGATGACCACGAATGGAGAGGCCCGTTACTTCCGAGAAGCTTCGTCAGCGGCGATATGATAGTCGCGAAGTTTCGAATGAAGCGCCGAAAGTAGGAACACAGTCCTACGAAACTGCGCAGTTCCTTCACGGATGTCGGCTTGGGGAACTCGGTCACGGCCCGAAGCTTGGTTGGATCAGGGAGAATTCCGTCCTTGGACACGACGTAGCCGAGTATTGTCAGCTGCCGAGCTGCAAATTGGCACTTCTTTAGGTTCAGTTGCAGACTGGCGTTTCTCAGACGCGTTAAAACATGCCGAAGGCGTTGAAGGTGCGTCGAGAAGTCAGGAGCGAAAACGACGACGTCATCAAGGTAGCACAAGCACGTGTGCCATTTCAGGTCACGCAGAACTGTATCCATCATGCGCTCAAAGGTGGCGGGCGCATTGCACAGCCCAAACGGCATAACGTTAAACTCGTACAAGCCGTCGGGGGTGACAAAAGCGGTCTTTGGTCGAGCGTCCTCAGCCATAGGTACTTGCCAGTACCCTGAGCGCAAATCGAGGGATGAAAAGAATTCTGCTCCTTGCAGGCTGTCGATCGCGTCATCTACCCGCGGTAGTGGATACACGTCCTTACGAGTGATCTTGTTGAGGCGTCGGTAGTCCACACAGAACCGCACAGAACCGTCCTTCTTCGTGACGAGAACGACAGGAGATGCCCAGGGGCTGCTAGAGGGGCGAATAACATCGCGGCGAAGCATGTCGTCGACTTGCTCGTTGATTACACGGCGTTCTGTGGGAGATACGCGATATGGACGTTGCCGCAGCGGTGGCTGTGCGCCTGTGTCGATGCGATGCGTAACGGTGGATGTGCGGCCGAGAGAAGGTTGAGCGACATCGAAAGAAGAGCGGAATTCTTCCAACAGGCCCAAAAGCTGGGAACGCTGGCCCTGCGTAAGGTCGTCGGGTATGCAGGGACCGAATATATCATCGGATGATGAAGCAGATGTCGAAACAGCACCAAGCGTACAGGAACTTGGGTAGGGCATGTCATCGGGTTGATCCATAACTTGCGCGTCTTCGATGGGTTCCACGCTGCCGAGACATTCTCCTCGCACCAACGTAACGCTGTACGGAGATGGGTTCACAACAAAAATAGTGGTGCTGCCGTGAGTGAGTTGGATGGTCGCGAAAGGAACTAGCAAGCTTTTTCTTATGAAAACACGATGAGATGGCGAGAGGAGTGCAGCGGTGTCAGAAAAGCTTGCGCAGTAGAGCGACACCGCAACGGACGAGTTTGCAGGCACTTGAGTGTCGTCTCTGACGAGTAACTTGCTTGCAGCGGATGGACTGTCGGCCGGCGTCAAAGAAGAGAATGGCGCGAGTTCTATTTCTGCTGGTGCGCAATGAATGACGGCGTCGTGGCGGGAAAGGAAATCCCATCCTAGGATGACGTCGTGAGAGCATGAAGAAATTATGATGAATTCGACCGCATACATCACGTCCTGAATCATAAGGCGGGCTGTGCACATCGCTGTAGGGTGAATGCTTTGGGCGCTGGCTGTACGGAGGGAGAGCCCGCAAAGCGGCGTGGTCACTTTGCGCAGTAATCGGCAAAGTTTTTCGTCCATCACGGATACGGCGGCTCCAGTATCTACAAGGGCAGATGCACGAACGCCATCCACAAGCACGTCTATCACGTTCGACGGGCTTTCCTGAGGGCTTCCGCAGTTCGACAGTGTCGCAGCCCTTGCCTCGTGGACTGCGACGACTAGTTTTCCTGGTCGCCCTCGAGTGGACGTGGCCGCATCGGTGACAGTGAGCGACGTCGTGGAGATGGTGAACGGCGGGTAGACGGAACGGGGCGGGACGACGGTGACATAGGCGGCGGTTGGTCATAAGATCGTCTTGACTGGCTGGGAAAGTTGGAGGCGACCTGCGGTTGCTGCACACGATTGCAATATCGTGCCACATGACCGACGCAACCGCAAGCAAAACAGATGGGGCGATTATCAGCAGTGCGCCATTGGTTTGCTGGTCGCATCCATGTCGCAGAACGCGATTGGCGAGCCGGCTGCTGATATGAGTGCATGGTAGGCGGCACTCGGGGCACGTGGGTGACGCCGGCGTATGTAGGCGAGACAGGTTCTCCAAAGGCCTGGGGCCTCGCGACGGTTTCGGTGTAATTTAGCGGAACAGTGACAGAAATCGGTGGGGGCGGCCTGGCAACAACTTGGGCGTAGCTGAGTGGCACAGATGCAGGATGTGGCTGGTGGTATTCAGGGACGACCTCCGCGATTTCCTGCTGAATGGCTCGGCGGAGCGGAGGTAGAAGTGTACTTGATGGCTGTTGAGCTTGTTGTGGGGAAGCAAAAGCCAGTAGAGAGACCTGGCGGGCAACTTCCTCACGCACGAACGACTTGATTTCGGCGAGCAAGGTTGCGTGGTCTGGAACTGCTGACAAGGCCGAGAGATCAGCATCACGTGGTGGCGGACGACGGGTCATCAAGCGCTGCCGCCGCAGCTCGTCGTAACTTTGGCATAACATGATGACTTCTGCCACAGTGCGGGGGTTCTTTGCCAGGAGCATGGTGAAGGCATCGTCGGCGATGCCTTTTAGAACATGCGTGATTTTGTCAGCCTCTGACATGTTCAGGTCGACTTTCTTGCACAAGTCAAGGATGTCCTCGATATAACTTGTGAAGGACTCACCGGTCTGCTGGGCTCGTTCACGTAAACGCTGTTCAGCTTGCAGCTTACGAACAGCAGGGCGGCCGAACACGTCGACGACAGCGGTTTTAAAAGCGGACCAAGTCGGGAAATCAGATGCGTGGTTATTGTACCACAATCCGGCCACACCCGCAAGGTAGAAGAACAGGTTACCTAGTTTAGCTGCCTCATCCCAATGATTGGGGACGCTCACACGTTCGTACATGGCAAGCCAGTCCTCGACGTCGGTGCCATCCGCGCCGGTGAAGACAGGAGGGTCGCGGATGCGGGGGACACCGGGACATGGCGGCGACGTAGGAGGAAGGGTTTGCTGGGCGGCGTCTTGGTACATGGTTGGAGGCACGGTACGGGATCGAAGCTCCAAGGGCATCGAATGCTGACCGAAGGTGTTTGAAGGGCGCAGCACTCTCAGCACTCTCCACGAAATTGTTAAGCGGTTTATTGACGGACACTCAGCGATGATTCACGACAGTGACAGTCAATGCGGGGATCGACTCTCTGCACGAGCTGCTCTTCTTCTTAAGAAAAAGGGCGACCCACTAGAAGGCGCTGAAGAGGATGACCCACTGTTCAAAGGCTTTACCACAATATATATATAAAGTTGCAGAGTTGCAGTAACGGCAGGAAGGAGGACCACAGGACGTCGACAAGTTGCACTTTGTGGTGGAGTATTTTTGCAAGACAGCTTTCACTTACGTGGTGCCACTTTCTGTCTGGTACGTTATTAAGGTATCAAGCTCATTATGACTTACCGTCTACGTAATCACTTATGTAGTAGGACAGCCGGCGTCGAACGTCGTCACACAAGCCTCTGGCTATGATGTACTTGCGTTTGTGCTGGAAAACGTAAGGTGGATCACATTAAGGTACGAATAGGTACATTATGACAAGGTCATGAAAACGAAAGCGATCGCTACAATGATATGGCTTTCGAGCTCGATATCACATATTTATAACAGTCAGAAAAAAGTTTGATCTGAAAGCGTGGTAATTTATTTACATTTTATGCTGCATAGATAACCATGTCTCTCCTTTTTGGTTGAAGTTTTTTGTGTTTTTTTGTTTTTATGTATGTGTTCATAGTAAATTTCCGTTGCGGCACAATCATGATGCTAGAAGAACGACTCGGTAAACGTTTGCAAAAATTACTAAATGTCACTCGCTGAGCACGAAGGCGGAGAATAGCAATGTTCACTGCAATAGGGTACCAAGTTTTTTTTTGATGTTGTTTTTTGTGTGTGCATCATTCCATTGGTGGCTCATCAGGCTATTGCCAAAGTCCAATTCTCCTGAGCATCAAACAGTGGCAAAAGAATTATTACATTGCAAAGCACAGCCCCTCTTGCCGAAAAATCTGTTTTATTACCAAGTTCCTTCTATAATTCTTCATTTAAATTTACCTCCGGTTTTCGCTTACGAACAATGCCGAGCTTTCCCTCACAACTGACGACGCCACTACCGACCCCGTAATTACAGTGAAATGAGCTCTTTAACGCTATGGGATAAAAAAAACAGTTCCAGTACTCACCGTAGACGGCTAAGTAGACAGCTAAATATACGGCGGCTACCTTAAGTCCCATTCCAATTCTCACGTAGCCGGCAAAGTAGACAGCCTCGAGAAGAGCACATCGTAGACAAATACGATGCAGGCTACTTTGCTGTCTAAACAAGATGGCGACTCAGTGAATTGCTCAGATAGACCTATTCTCGCCGGAACGGTCGTCTGCACACAAGCAGACACTTTTTCAAAAGCTCAATGTGAGTAACGTTTATTTTTTGAGATTTTAACACAAATTAAGCTAGAAAACACAACTATTACGTTTATTTTGGCTTTTGCTTCTCAACGCGAGCTGGCGCTTCATCGCGTAAAAGCCTTCTAGACGTGTTCCAATTTTCGGACAGCATGGGTTCAGTGCTGTCTTCTAAGCATTCTGCGTAGACTGTCTACGTGCTGTATGAGAATTGGAACACAGCCATTGAGGACGCCTCAAGGTTGCTTTTTTCATCCTCTAGGCTATGTATTCTGGCGCTGCAGTCAGACGGGAAAACCTGACGGAACAGTGCATAGGGAGCGCGTGTGTTCCATTGGCAGATTCTCGTCAGTCGCACTCCGCCAGAGTGGAATGCTCCGGCGCAGAGTTCGTCGACTCCTCCGCATCTGCCAATAGATGGCACTATATGATAAATATGCATAAACTCTCTTGTAATTGCACGCTCATTCTTTTTCCCCATATGAACTTCCCCCTTCCTTGCCGGCTTCTGCAGAAGTGATTAACCACACTCGTAAGTACTGTCTGATCGCTTAATACTTGAGTTCGGCTAATCGGCGCAGTGACGCACCCAATGACATCGACTTTAGACAAACTCACACTCTCTTGCTTAGCTTCCGGCGGGTGAACGTTGAGCGCCAGGGCGGTCCTTTGATCGACGGTGAGGCGGTCCGCATGCTCCGACAGCTCTTCGACAAAGCGCGCTGGCGTGCGAGCCTGCCAGAGTCGATGACGCAACGCCGAGTCGGCGAACAGCGTGGCCAAACGTGCGAGCCGTCTCCAACGCACTCTTGGTGCTTTTCTCCCTGCTAGGAGACAGGGCGACGACCAGGAACCGCACGTCACCGCAGGTGCGACCCATGTTGGCGGCGTGTTTAAGGCGTGCCATGGCCACGCGCTTCTTTTGGAGCGTCGGCACGGAGCACCTGTGATACCCCCGACCGCAAGAGTCATTATTTCTGCCACTGAAGCTGGCGTTTAAACATGCCGATATCAATCTCAAATTGTAAAAAAATAATTAGGTTGTATACCTTCTAAAATGATCGTATGGTTATGAAAAGGAGAGAGAGGGAGGGAGCAAATAAAAGGCAGCAAGGTTAACCAGGTAGTACCTGGTTTGCTATCCTACACGGGAGGAAAAAGGAGAAAAATAATAAAGAAAGCAGGGAGGAAAGATAGAACAAATGATACGCGCACGCATATGCCAGCGTAACCGCGCCAACTTAGACAGCCACAACTGGAAAAGCTTTCAGAACAGTTGTTCTACGGCTCTCTAAAAATGGAATGAAATCCTAGATCTCTAAAAAAGGCTAGCAAGGGCTGGCTCCAACGAGTTCAGAAGTTTCCGTGTGCATTGAGCTCGTAGTTATGAAAGACCTCAACAAAGCGAAGACTTGACTTTTGTCGTGGGAATCACCGATGGACAATGATGTACGCCGCGGGGAATTTTGCGCTGGCTCTTTATGAGTGCGCAGGGTTGGTCATAAGGGCCATGTGACATCCGCCACCGCTTTCTAAACCTGCGTTTCTTTCGGCCTCTCTCACCGAGATGCATTGGGTGGTCGTGGTGGTGGCAGTGGGGGTAACTGTTGCTTAGGGAAATACTGATGAACTGTCGGAGAAGGAAATCGAATTATCTGCCCAAGTAGAGCTGGAGTAGCCTTAGAGGTTCGTCGCTGGTGAGGCCCCCGATGTAGATAAGATGTACATTTTTACACAAATAGACGACGCTTGGATGACGCTTCGAGCAATTCATAGATGTTGGAACACTTCAGGCTGATTGCAGGCAGCATTCCGCATGGCGTGTCTTCGCAGAGCGGGGCCAAATTACCACGTTCCTGTGATCTTCAGTGAAATGGCCCATTTTTACTACATATGGCACTGAACTGCTTTCGGGTTTTTCTATAGACCACGCGATGAAAGTAACCCACCTGCATGTGGGATGGCAATTTGTGGCCTTTGAAGACAATCGTTACGCAGAGCGAAGGGCGCAGTCGTGAGACTTGTACTCTGTCTCTGTGCTCTCTAACTTCCTTGATTACCATTGGAAGGTCGCCAGAAGTAATGGAGAAGGAATGGAATATAAGTACATGCACCCCTATCTTATCGTTACTTCTGCCAGCAAAAACCTCCTGGATTATTAATTGCTTGTGTTCTACTACCAAAAATCACAATGCCGTTACAAGACGAGCAATAGCCAGGAACTCGGCAATATTTTCGATCACCTCTGGTTTATCATAAAGAAAACGAGGGGCAAAAAACTAAGGGTAGGCAACCTAGTTATTTAAGCCGGGGTTAAACGCAATAAACGCTACATACACTTGGAAGTCAGCGCATGGCATGTGCTGTTCGTCCCGTGCGTGTCAGGTTTTCACAATGTTTAACACTATGCACTCATACCAACACGCCCAGCTTACTACTCTTTCCATCGCCTTGGGTTTTTTAACACCCTCTTCAAGAACACGGGTGCTGTCTGCAATGCAGCTGTCATGGTAGACGAGAGTCTAACGCGGCCCCGCGAACTTTGTAGCGCGGCATCCTGCGGGCTGTTACCAAGGTGGGTATATATACCGGCACTGGTATCCGAACCACGGTGAGTCGAATCTCGGTGCCGTGCCGCTCCCAACCCGATTTTTAAATAAAATCCACGTGGTAATAGAACTGTATTAGGAGGCCTGGGGTGCGGCCTCAACGGTGACCACCACCGGTAACGCACTCTCTCACCAGAGAAAGATTGGCCAGCATGGTGCAGTATCTGGCCACTACCTCCCACATGCATACGTCAATTAACTCACGGCCCTCAGTTCCCAGCGGCTAAGAAGCAACTGACCATGGCGGTGGTCAGATTTGCAACGCAGCAGAGTGTGCTAAGAATCTCTGGATCCCGACAGGCCACCATTAGAACCTGAACTTGGCCGCGTTTAACACTAGAACCTTATCTAGTGAGGCAAGACCAGCTGTACTATTCGAGGAGCTAGAGGGTGGTAAATGGGATGTAATAGAGCTCACTGAGGTTAGGAGGCGTGATGAAGCCAATACCCTGCTACAGAATGGCAAGTCTTGTGCTATCGTGGATTGGCTGACAGAAAAGAACTAGAAGTGGAATTCCTTATTCACAGAAACAAAACCGGCCACATAGTGGAATACTATAGCATTATTAAAAGAGTGGTAGGTATCGTGACTAAAGTGAATAAGACATACAAGATGAAGGTGGTGCCGGCTTGATTGATTTGTGGGGTTTAACGTCTCAAAACCATCATAAGATTATGAGAGACGCCGGATATGAGGGCTCCGGATATTTCGAACACCTGGGGTTCTTTAACTTGCACTCAAATCTGAGCACACGGGTTTACACCATTTCCGCCTCCATCGGAAATGCAGCCGCCGCAGCCGGGATTCGATCCCGCGACCTGCGGGCCAGCAGCCGAGTACCTTAGCCCCTAGACCACCACGGCGGGGCAAGGTGGTGAAGGCTAAGGCATCTACATCCAGCCATGATGACGCGTCAGTTGAAAGCTTCTATGAATACGTGAAATCCGCAATGAGTAAGGTAAAAGCACAGTATACTATACTGATGAGAGACTTCAATTCCAAAGTACGAAAGAAGCAGGCTGAAGACTAGGCAGTAGCAGATTACGGCATCGGTACTCAAATGCCAAAGGGGAACCATTCGTAGAATTAGCACAACGCAATAATTTACAGATCTTGAATACCTTCTACCGAAGACGAGGGAACCATAAGTGAAGTGAACATGATGGAGCACTAATGACGAAAGTAAGAACGAAACATACTTTATACAAAGTGCACACCCAGGCATCGTGCAAAATGTGGAAGTGGTTAACAAGGTAAGATGCAGTGACCACAAAATGGTACGGTCTCGAATTCGCCAAAACTTGAAAAAGGAATGACATTAACTGATACGCAAGAAGCCAATCAATGAGCTAGCACTAAGAGACAAACTACAGGCCTATTGAGAGTCTCGCTTCAGACAGGTATTCAGCTCTTATCGACAAAACTAGCCTTAGCGTTGACGCAATGAATGAATATCTGACGAGTACCATTAGGGAGTGTGCAGTGGAAGTTGGAGGTATGGCAGTTAGACAGGACACTGGCAAGCTGTCTCAGGAAACTAAGAGCCTCATTAAGAAGCGTAAAAGCATGAAAGCCTCAGGTACAACAGACAAAATAGAGTTGGCGGAGCTTAAGAAATTGATTAATAAGTGTAAGGTATTCGATGTAAGAAGTTATAACATGGAGATAATTGAACACGCTCTGAAGAACAGAGGAATCGTCAAAGCAGTAAATAGGAAACTTGGGATAGCCAAAAATCAGATGTATGCACTAAGATACAAGGAAGACAAAATAACTACCAATATGTATAGGATAGTTAAAATAGTGGATGAGTTTTACAGAGATCTGTATAGCAGCCGGGACAGCCACAGCATTCCTTTAAGAACTAGCAGTAACCCAGCTGGCACCCCACCAGTAATGATGGAAGAAGTCAGAAAAGCCTTGGAGAGCATACAAAAAGGCAAAGCTGCTGGTGAAGATCAGGTAACATCAGATCTGCTGAAAGATGGAGGATAGACTTTGTTAGAAAAAATATCCACCCTGTTAACGAGATGTCTCCTGACAGGAAGAGTACCAGAATCTTGCAAGAGTGCCAACATCATCTTAATATGTAAGAAATGAGATGACAAGAACTTGAAGAATAACAGGCCTATCAGCTTGCTCTCTGTAGTATACAAGCTATTTACAAAGGTAATTGCTAACAGAGTACAGAAAACATTAGAATTCAATCGACCAAACGAACAAGCAGGATTTCGAACAGGCTACTCAACAATTGACCACATTCATACTATCAATCAGGTAATAGAGAAATGCTCAGAATACAGCCAACCACTATACATTGCCTTCATTAATAACGAGAAGGCATCTGATTCAGTAGAAATATCAGCAGTCGCGCAGACACTGCGGAATCAAGGCGCCGACTAAGCGTATATAAACATTTCTGAGGAAATGTACAGGAGATCGACTGCTAACATAGTGCTATACAAAGAAAGCAACAGAATACCAATCAAGAAGGGTGTAAGGCAGGGGAATACAATCTCTCCAATGCTATTTACCACGTGCTTACAGGAGCGTGGAAGCTTGGGCAAGTTGGTAGGAAATAACTGAATGCAGGAACAGCGCAACCTAGAAGTAGTTACTTCGTAACTACGGAAGCGAAAAAACAAGGACAGAAAATAGCGCTGACTTTCAACAAAGATTTATAGCCGGAGTGGTGTACATATATAGGCGAAAAATGAGAAAAATGGGCATGCGTAGAAGGGTGCAGGAACAACTACTGCGATACAATGTCAGCAAAACTCTTGTCTCTTGTTGAATGGGCTGAAAAAACAAATACATATGTAACTTAAAAAAGAACGACATACGCTATCTTCTTTTGCAACAACGCAACCGATGGGCAACTTACACATTTAGTGTCAAAGTTGTTTATTTGATAAGTTTCAATGTTTTTTTCGCTTCCGTAGTTACGAAGTAACTACTTCTAGGTCACGCTGTTCCTGCATTCAGCTTACAGGAGATTTTCATAGGCCTAGAATGGGAAGAGTTAGGAATGCGAGTCAACGGAGATTACCTTAATAATCTGCGATTCACCTATGACATTGCATTGCTGAGTAACTCAGAGGACGAATTGCAACTCATCCTTAGAATTGGACAAGGAGAGCGGGAAGGTGGGCCTTAAAATTATTCCGCAGAAAACTAAAGTAATGTACAACAACCTCGGTGGAGAACAGTGCTTTGAGATAGGTAATAGTGCACTAAATGTTGTAAAAGACTATGGCTACTTAGGAGAGGTAATATCCGTGGAGCCGAACCAAGAGATACGAGTAACTAGAAGAATAATAATGGGGTGGAGCACAATTGGCAAGCACTTTAAAATCATGACAGGTATATAGCCAATATCCCTCAAGGGGAAGGTATGTAACAGCTGCATCTTGCCGGTACTTAGCTATGGAGCAGAGTCCTGGAGAGTTACAAAGAAGGTTCAGCTTAAATTAAGGATGACGCAGCGAGCAATGAAAAGGAAAATGGTAGGCGTAACCTTAAGAGACAAGAAGAGAGCAGAGTGGATCAGGGAACAAACCGGGGTTAAGGATATCATAGTTTGAATCAAGAAGAGTAAATGGACATGGGCCCGGCATGTGGATCGCAGACAGGATAACCGCTGGCCATTAAGGGTAACTAACTGGATTCCCAGAGAAGGCAAGCGGGCTAGGGGAGAGAGAAAAATGGGTGGGCAGATGAGATTAAAATGTTTGCGGGTATAAAATAGCAGAAGCAAGGACAGGGCCGTGTTAACTGGACGAACATGGGAGAGGCCTTTGTCTTGCAGTGGACGTAGTCAGGCTGATGTTTTTTGTCGGGAATAACACTGTGACGGTCAGTGCACCTTTATATCCACTCAAAGGTGTAAGGCGAAAGCCTCACCCAATTGTCTCCAACTTGCCCACTTTTGCTCGAGCTATTATTCTGTTGTAGCTCAGCAATTATTCCACTCTGTGGAGTTATTGAATGGCTCAGAACTTTTTGGTTAATAATTGATTTGTGGGGTTTAACGTCCCAAAACCACCATATGATTATGAGAGACGCTGTAGTGGAGGGCTTCGGAAATTTAGACCACCTGGGGTTCTTTAACGTGCACCCAAATCTGAGCACACGGGCCTACAACATTTCCGCCTCCATCGGAAAGTCAGCCACCGCAGCCAGGATTCGATCCCGCGACCTGCGGGTCAGCAGTCGAGTACCTTAGCCACTAGACCACCGCGGCGGGGCTCTCTTTGGTTAATAAATGTGAAGCATTTCTTAGTGAACTTCAGCGACTTTGAGCATATATATATAACATAACGGAACATAACGGACCGGCCCTAATGTGGAAATCATGACATACGTGTCATGTAAGAACATGACTACATACCACGCTCGTGATGCGCTCACGGCCAATCACTATCTTCACATATACTAAATTTATTATTACGTAACGCGAAAAGACGACGAAGGTAATTGACACGTCCAAACATAATAATCATGACATGCGTGTCATGCAAAACATGACCACATTCTACGCTCATAGCCCGCTCGGGGCTGGTTCGTTAGCTTCACATATACCAAATTTAGTATCACAAGACGTGAACAGACGACGAAGGTAAATGACACGTCCAAACATGATCATCATGACATGCGTGCCTTGTAAAACATGACTACATCATGCTACGATCATAGCGTTCTCGCGGTCGTTTCGCCAGCTCCACATATGCGTATCACGGTATCACGGTATCACATATGTGTATTTGGTATCACGTGACGGAATAGATGACGAACGTAAATGACACGTCTAAGTATAATAATCACATGTAAGTCATGTACGGCATCATTTACAGCCGCCTCGTAATGCTGTACTACTTTTAAAGTGACGTTACCAATCTTCCTTATTCGTGCTTCGCATATCATCGATGCCCAAGGTACGTGGGATCTGCCTTTTTTTTTACTGTGATTATGAACATTTCTTATTTCAAATACTATTCCTTCGCTTCGTCTTTCAATATATTTTGAAGGACTACGTCCATGGCGTTGTGTTTTTTTTTCTTTTTGACAATTTTATCTTGGGGGAAATGTGGCGTCACCTTCTGTGCGAGTTGCTCAACAACGAACGTATTTAGGGGCTTGACTTGAAACTTGAATACAGCTACACAGATAAAGATTCTTTGAATAAAAACCCACTTTGCCGACCACCCTAGTTCAAATGGTATAGAATGTTTTCCAGATAGCATGTTTTAATTCGATAACCGTTTCGTTCACTCTAACTCACTTAGCAGCTCAGCACGCTGAAAGTGGAAACAGCTTGATGACTCCAGAAACTTACAAGACGCACATCCAGCTCTGGTCGTACTCGAAGTTACCATTCTCGTAGCTCCAAACGCCCTGGATAGTCCTCGTTGGCATGGCAACTGCAAAACATACTCGTCATCCTCAATCTGCAAAAGCACTGGTCGACTATGAAAGCATTTGAGAGCAGATGAATATATGCAGTCGTTAGGCTTGTTAGGCTACCGGTTTAAGGCTATCGAATTGCTAAAATTTCCCCTGCTAGACGCTGCACGAAAACAACACAAAAAATCGCCGCCAAGCACTCCGTACAAATGGTTAACCAGTGAAAGATGAAACGTGCGGCCCCTGGATTTGATTGATTGATATGTGGGGTTTAACTACCCAAAACCACCATACGATTGTGAGAGACGCCGTAGCGGAGGGCTCCGGAAATTTTGACCATCTGGGGTTCTTTAACGTGCACCGAAATCTGAGCACACGGGCCTGCATTTCCGCCTCCATCGGACATGCAGCCACCGTAGCCGGGATTTGATCCCGCGACCTGCGGGTCAGCAGCCGAGTATCTTAGTCACTATACCACCGCGGCGGGGCCGGCCCCTGGGTTTAACAGTGGGTTCGACTTGACATGGCACACAAGGCTTTCACAATTATTTGTTACATATTCGTGCTTCTTAATAGGTTAGACACACGTTTGGCTTGAGTTTAGCATAGGGGTTATTTGACATGCCATACATTGTGCCTCGAATGATCGTGGTCATGAAAGATGATGATGAGTGGTTAAATGCGTTTCTCACTACGTTAATCACAGTGGTTGTTTTTAAACCACAGGCGTTGGTAGACAACGCAGTCGAAGCCAATGTGCCATTCGGGGAACTCCCGCCGAAAGCGGCCGTTCTCTCGGCGAACGAGCTCCCGTAATCACCACATTGACGCCGTAATGCCGCGTTGTTGCAAGCGTTTGACATCGCGAGCTCACTCAGTGGCCTGTGGTTTCTAGAAGCCGCCCGCTACCGGTGCTTGAGTTCCCGTACGCGATATAGCGTGGCTAAGAAGTTGCTGGATCACGGTACGCAGTTGCTGCCGGCGCTCGGCCTCCCGGGCACGTTTTTGTGCCCATGGACGGCACCATCGGCCCCTCCAATGCGAGCTCTCTCTCTCGTTTTCACTGTCGGCGCACTTCTAGAGTTGTTCGTGGCATACCCACGTGGAAAGCTCCAGGAGAAAGAGATGCACGCGTGCCCAGTGCCAGGGCTGCGACAGTATAGACGACGTTACTCACAACGCAGCCAATGGTGCGCGAGCATGGGTGCGACGCTGCGAACGACGCAACTGACAACACAGGCAATGTAGACCGCTCGTGACACCGCTGCCAGACGGTTTTTAGGGGTGAAACCCCTTATAGCGGCACCCGTTCGTTGCTCCCAGTTGTTGTCGTAGTCCTAGTGTGTCACCAGTCTTACGTTTTGACCTGCAAGGTGGTGCCGGTGGGATATTTTTCCTGGGTGTTGTTGAACAACAAAAAATTCGTAGCGTGTGCGTTAACTAAAAGCCGGATTCTCCTGTCTCTCATTCCTCATTAGCAGTCATTGACATGTACATTGAGCAATAAATTACAAGAAAGTGTTGCTACGTTATACTTGCTGGCCGTAACCTCCTTGTTTTAGAAAGGTTTAGCGAGCGTTGGGCACAGTGCCATGATACAATGAAGTAATTATAGCCAAGAACTCGAGGTGGTTAAGTGTGAAGTAGAGTACGAAGCCAAGCCGTAAGTAAAGTGTGCTCCTGTCCCTCATTACCCTTAGAAGCCTTGATGGCTGTGCATTGAGCACTGTCTATGACAAGAACTGGGCTGCTACGTACATCGCGGGTTAACATCCGTAGTTTTAGAAAGGTTTAGCGAGCGTTGAGCCCAGTGCTCATTGGATACAGTGAACGTATATACAATGAAGTCCAGGTGGTTAAAGAGGAGCTAGACACGAAGCGCAAGCCGTAAGAGGTTTGCGTTCAACCCTCGTTATCTTGAATCAATGGATGGCGGTGCTTCTATATAGGGAATATATGATGAAAAGATGCGAGATGGTGGTACTTGGAGTGTTGAAAAGATGGACGAACGGACACAGAGACAGATGCATGGATGGACGCATGAATGGACGCAGGGGCGGATGCATGGACGAACACAGGGACGGGCGCACGAACAGACGCACGCACGGATGGCCGGATGGACGCATGGCTGGTCACACAGACGGACGCATGAACGGACGGAAGCAAGAACGAATGGACGGACGGATGTTTCGCTTCACTCTCCATCATTCGCTCCGTGAAAATGCTGCCATTTTTTTTTCTCCTAGTCATATGCAGCTTTCGCTGTAAAAACCAGCAGTTTCGTGTCAGAATATAACCGATGAGCGAAGCTCTAAGAAATGGGACGCATAGGAGCATGCGCCTGATCTCGCTGCTGGCTTTTATGACGGCGGTAGGGTGGGGAGTGGTTGGGGAGAGCGTCTGTGCGCTCTGTGGCGGTAACTACTGAGTGAGCGACTCACGCGGTGCAGCGCGAGCCATTCGCCTCCGCTCCTGCGCCCGCTGGGAGTGCGCACCCGTTGCTTTCCTCGGCGCGATTGCCCGGCACTGGCAGCTTCGATGGCAATGGCGGCGACGGCGGAGAGCGGGCCTAAGTACCGCCTAACAATGTATGCCATCATTCTTCAATAGCTTTCCTCAAAAGGCTGGAAAAGCATTAAAAATTGTTTAATCGGCTGCCTATGATACACCTCCGCACAGTTATTGATTTGCAGTTTTCTCACAGTAGTTGGATTAATGTATTGGTAGCTCAATATGCTAAACATTATACAAACAGTGTTTTAGCAGCAGCTTTGTGACTGCGTCTACGTAATGACTGTCCACTGCAGGTTTTTTTATATGCCGCTACCCGACTGCAGCAGCTTTGTGACTGCGTCTACGTAACGACTGGCCACTGCGGCTTTTTTTTATATGACGCTACGCGACTGTGTTAAGCGAGGCTGAACGCCACGTGCTCTGCAGTTTGGACAAAACATGTGTCAATCACAGGCTGTATAATAGTCGACCTACGTTAGCGGTTCACCTGCTGTGTGATTACGTGCTCGACACACAGACGCGTGTTCTATTTCAAAGCGCGATGCAATGGAATCCCTCTATACACTCACCTTGCACAAGATGCAAAATTATGCATTGTAGCGGCGCCGGTTTGGTCGCATTGTCATTGACCCTGATAAACTAGGTCGTAGGGCACGTGCTATAGTCCCCTCATAACACGCCTAATTGAATTTCCCGATTTTCTTTTTTCTTTTCTGTGCTTAGTTTAGGAATTTATTTCGAATAAAAAGCGATGTATACTACTCCCACATGGCATGCAGTTGCGTCAGTTCGATTCGGGTGCAAAGTAATAAAAGATATAGGTTTACTGTTGAAAACTGTATTGCTGTGATATACGTCCCGCTTCAGCGATGTTGAATTGCTGAAGCACTCCGATGCCGTACTCCTGCGCGACATACCATTTCTTGGGCGCAATGAGAAATGATTTAAGGAGTCACAGCTTTGCACACAAAGGCGAAAAAATGAACGTGATAGCAACTAAGTGGGAGGTCACGCGAATAATGACAAGCAGATCGAAACGTGCCCCACGTTTCTCACGCAAAAATGACGCACGAAACGTACGCAAAGGTACAGATAAACGCGAATGAGCGTTTCAATTGATACTTCGCTGTGTCTTAAAAGCGCGCTCTTTACGCAAACTGAGACTACGCAACGAGTGCAGTGGTAACTACAACAGAATCGTTCCGGTGAAAGCCCAAGGCGTACAATTGTCCCCAGTGCGAGATAAGCGAGCACATGCGTCAGCGTCCACTCCCCCTCTTTCCGCAGGGCAAAGTACGTGCGGGAGATGACAGCGCACACCGCCGCGGCGTGACGATTTGGCTACGCGCGCTCATTCCGTCATCTCGCTCGTACTGCTGAAAACGTTATAATTCCCTGGAGATTCCCTAGAGATAGCTTGCCGTTTCAACATTGAAGTAGGTGCTCATTCATGGCTCAGTGGCTAAAGCCTCGCACTCGCAAGCAAGAGGTCGGACGTTCGGTTCTGCGCGCAGGAGTCTTCATCTGGATTATTTTTTTTCTTGCGTTTTTATATATATAGAGATACGCATATATATATGATGAATGAAGGTGAAGCCGACGCAAAATTCAGCCGAGAGTGTCCATACAATTGCTATCGGATTGATATGACAGCTTTACGTGCCAGAAACAGATCTGAGGCACACTGCACTGGAGGGTTCCGCAAATTTCCAATACACAGGTTCTTTATAGGGGCCCTGAAACACTCTTTCAAATAACTATGGAATGAATTCACTGGAAGAGCTTATTGTCTCACGAACTTAACGCCGCCAAAATTTTAGGAATCCTTCCTATGCGAGTGGAGTTAAAAATATTTGTCGCATGCCGCAATCGCATTCTCTCTTCTCTCGTCCCGACAAAATCGCTCGAAGCTTTGCAGGGAGGGATGGCAAGGGGGAAAAAAAACAAAATACGTCACCCGCCCCTCGTGACCTTGAGCGCTTTTTTTTTCTTCGAATGTGTGGTTTCTTCAGTGTGATCGCACGTGCGCACGCGTGTACAAGTCATGGCCTCCCGTGGCGATCCCTGTAACAACCGAGCGCGCCATGTTCACATCAGCCAATGGCGGATAGATGGGCTTACTGAGATTGATTCCGTGATTTGTCGAAAGAAGAGATTTTTAGCTGACTTTCACAATCCATTGCGAATTCTAGGCCACGTGCTGCACTCTAATATTTGGCTCGCGTGTTGTCGTGAGCCTCTACTACCGATCGGCAGCGTTTCCTCATCGTGCTCAAAAAGTGTTGCAGGGCCCTTTCAAACGAGCACCTATTCCAAGCACATGAGTCTGCATCGAAACTGTGACCACCCGCGCCCGGCATCGAGAACCCGTGACTTTCGACTCAGCAGCTGAGCTTCGTCAGCACTGCACCACCTCGGCAGTGGGGCTACGGATACTTAAACACAGAAAGCACAATGGTGGCATTTATATTTTACGCACAGTGCCACTCCGCTGCGTTATGTTTGTGCTAATTACCTAGAATGAAAGAGTGCTGTCGACATTTTAGTCAATAGGTAGCGATGGCTGTGAGAATTTCGGGAGGCATGACTGTCGTCCGTAGAGGACAGCAGTTTTCGATGCGAGAAGGAATAGACCACTGCAGACACCAGATATTACATTCAGGCTAAAGGAAGCCAAAGTAGCCACGTCATTCAACTTTATCACCAAAGTAGTGGCCAAGTTCAACAAAAGTGGCATTATGAATGCTGCTCTCATTCAAAAATAATTATGTTTTGAATAACCAAGACCACACAAAAACGAAGTTTTTTTATTTGTTTGTTCTTCAGGGCACATGTAAGTTGCAAATGAAATAATAAATAAAAGTAAAGTCAGTGCACCTGAGCACAGTGTGTATAGAAAAGATGTAGAACAACAGATGCAAGACAACTCTCCCCAGATGCAGAACGACATAAGAACACTCCAGTCAACAAGTCAGCAAGAACATTCATCTATGAAGCAGTTTTCGGTCAAGTTGGACGCCGAATCAGACAAGTGGTGTTATCATACCAACATTACAACTTCAGAAAGTAAAATCCGAGTAAAGCTGCGTTGTCTTGCTTGAATACCTTGCAGACCTACGTTTTTGTCAAGTTCACGTTGGAACACACGCCGTGTATCCGAAACTTGCGCTTGGCATTGACAAAAACGGTGGGTAACGTGAGCATCCTGCCAGCCCCGCGTTCTCCGACTTGAACGCGAATTCGTCGCACCATGTTTGCCCCACGTGCTGTCAGGAACACCGCGATTGTGCTTGTGTACAGGAAAAAACGACACGCGCATGGGCTGACGTGACAGGAAAGCTTGAAAACTGAGTATACAATCTGCAAACAATTAGGAAAACGGCTGCTCATTGCGCCAAAACTGATGTTCTAAAGTAGCCAGGGAGCTAACCTAAAGTTTTTGACGCCAGACGGGGTCAAAGGTGGCCAACTTGGAGCTAAGTAGCTACCAATGGTAACACCTGTTGGACTTTCTGTGGAACTGATGCAACTGATGCCATGGGCCATCATGTCATTGCTGAGAGACTTTGAAGGGATAGAGGCCGCAGTTGGCACCCTTCGAGGGCAGAGACAGATGCGTGATCGGACGCCACGAGAATATAGGCTTAGGGCGTAATGAAGATGTGGTATACAACCTATGTACAGAGGTAGCGCATTTTCTGAAGGCTAATTCTAGCGAAACACTAACCATACAAAACAGCCCGAGTGATGCAAAAATATACCATTTCAATTCATGAATGCCAAGTACTCGCAAGAGTGACGGAGTGAGTTAGGCATTAATTCTCACCTTGTTCGGCTACGAACAGCGATTTCTTGGTTTCACTCACACTCGTTCCTGGTTCGCTAGATTCCAGAACCTGAAATGGCATTTACAACTGTGGTAAATAGTTGGGTGATGAATCGCAGTCATAATCACTAAGATCCTTAACCTTGTATATTTATTATCCTCGTAAATATTATTCCGTTGATCTCTTGGTTTTTTTTACCAAATTGCTGGAAATGTTTTCGGAAATTAATACACTAGCAGTGCTAATCATGACTTCAACCCATACTTTACTGTGTCTTAACTTGGCTAATCAAGGCTTTCGAGTGCTAGCTCAGTTTTCCTTGCTTCTAGCAAGAACAAGACAACCGGGAGGTTTAACTTTATTGCATGTCCATTGTCTTTATTGCCTGGTGAAGTCTGTGCTTTAATCATTCAGTCAGGGACGACGAATAGTCAACGCACTTCGACTACACAACGTGAAAAGGAATTCCACGTGCAGCTCTACAACACTAGATAATGACGCTACTCGGCGCTCTACTTGCGAAGGCACAGAGTGATTTTGGGTGCAGCCAGCGCCTCTGGCGGTGGCGGTACGAAAGAATTACTCCGTGCCGCAGTTCATCATCGTGGATGCATCGCACTAGTGCCCCACTGAAACATTTTGCCCGGGTGGACCTTGGGAACTTGGCTGAGTTTGAAGGTGAGGTTCGCGCAACGAGAAGTTTTATGTGCTCTTACCAAGATCGCCTTCAAATCATTCCTCATTCATTAGCAGCAAACAAGAGCCCTATTTTGCGATGGGTGCATAGCCCAATATCAGTTACATGCGTAACATAGGTGAATGTACACTATGGGTCACTGTTAAAAGGGTACATTAATATGAGCGTCGTTCATATTACCGGTCCTATACCAGCAAGTAGATAAGGAAACAATGCTCATGCACAGCACTAGTCTCTGTCCCACGGAGTCATAACTGTGAATCACCAGTAGTCTGGTGCAAATATAAGCCACTGTGCTCTTGCAGGAGAGTGAAATCTAAACAAACCGTGCACACAAATGTTCCGTTTAACAATGTACCTGTCTTTACACCTAGTGTGCCCGGCACAACAGTATCAAGCGAATCGGATACATTCACGTGAAAAAACTAGAACAAATATTAACAATTGATGGAGCTTTATGTATGATATCCACAATACGATTATGAAAGATGCCGCAGTGGAGGGCTCTGGAAATTTCGACCTCCTGGGGTTCTTCAGCGGGCACCTATACGTAAATGCACGGGCCTCAAGCCCTTTCGCCTCTATCGAAATTGCGGCCGCCGCTGCCGGGATTCAAACCCGCGACCTGAGGGTAAGCAGTCGAGCAATTGTGGCGACATCGAAGAATAAACTGTCGTGCAGCTGTGGCGACGTACCTTTTTCAAGACGAGATCCACAACGTCTTCCAACGTTGTCTCTTGAACGTCAAGTAGCACCGTTGCGTCCCGAAGAAAGTTGCGGATGTCCAAGGAAGCTCGCACCTCGTTGTTAAAATCCTTCATAGGAACTACCTAAAGAGCAGTGAAGTAATAATAACTTATTACTCAGCGAACTGTTCAAATGTGAGAAATAAGAATGCAGTGAAATATTTTGAATATTTACACAACAATGCACACCATAGGGGCACCTTTGTAAAGAATCAACGCCTGTCTAATACACAGTTACGAAGAAATTTCCCGTCTCCTAATTGAAGCTATATATTGTAACGGACTAGTAAAAGGTAGATAAGAGAAGGAGAGGAAGACGAATAGTCTTGGCAGGATCACAGTGTGCTGCCGCGAACGACCATCGTTCACCTCCTGTAAATAAAAGCATTTTATCACAGCTCGCTGTTACAGTTGTGGTGGAGGTGCTGGGTAATCGACACCCGAAGACGGAAGTTGAACCGCGAGTACTTCGATGGAGCCGTCGCATTGCTGGACTTCCACCGAATCCATCTGGGCTGGACATGTCCCACAACGCAGATGATTACCGACCCCTCTCGACTTCTGCCCCAACCAGTTCGGCTCCACAACTGAGAGATGCTCGTCCCTTCGCCGGCAGACCAGATGAAGACGTCGAGGCTTGGCTCATCCACTACAAACGGGTGAGCGCCACTAACAAATGGGATGCCGCTTCTCAGCTTTTGTAAGTCGCGTTCTTTCTGATGGATACTGCATTAATGTGGTACGAGAATCGGGAGGAAAGACTAACGACTTGGGACAGATTTGTTTCTGAAATCAAAGAGCGTTTCGGTGACCCAACAACGAAAAAGAAAAGAGCAGAACAAACGCCAATGCAACGCGCTCAAGTGCCAGGTGAAACTTGCACGACCTACATTGAGGAAGTCATAAAGCTATGTAAGACCACTGACTCCGGAATGTCTGAGGAAGACAAAGTCGGGCACATTCTAAAACAAATCGCCGAGGATGTTTACAGTTTCCTCATCGCGAAAGACACCTTGACATCTGTCACCGATGTCATTCGCCATTGCCGCACTTTTGAGCAACTAAAGACGAGGCACATCACGCCGAAGTTCAGCAGGCTAGCCATTGTGATAACAGCAACCAGGCGCTTGATCAGCAATCAGGCGTAGTATAGACAGCAACCAGGCGCTTGATCTTGCATCAACAATCCGGCAAATAGTACGTGAAGAACTCGGCCTGCACGCGCAAGTGGCACACCGCCCCAAGCACTCATCCCCCGTACCAGCCACCAGAGTTCGAGCGAAACGTTGCTTCATTCTCCTCGCACCGAGTGACGGAGGACGGAAAATTCTGATGCCACACCTCAGTATCAGCCACGTCTCTACGAATCTTGTTCACGTCTCTACGTGAACAAGATTAACGCCCTTCTCGAGGATGCCAGCACGTACCTTCCACTACATAGAGACCCAACAGCAAAACTTCAAAGGGACCTCCAAAAGCTGCTAGCAGACGTCTTTCGCTTTGTGCCGCCTACACAAAAGTCTTTATATTACTCTCTTCTTTGTAACAATGGATCAGCGCCAGCTATGTATGGACTGCCTAAGATTCACAAGACAGGTGTCCCAATCCGCCCGATTGTCGATTTTACAAGGTCACCTCTGAACAAGCTTTCGGCTTACCTACACAGGACCCTCTCGCCGCTCGTTGGAAAAAGTGAAACGCACTTAAGGAATTCCAGTAATTTCATTGATAAGGTACGCGACATGGTACTAGATGACAATGATGTTCTAGCATTTTTGATGTACGGTCGCTTTTTACAAGTGTACCTGTTGGTCTGGCAATCGACATGTGCAAGACAGCCCTTGAGTCAGACCAATCATTGTCGGACGTAACGCCCATCGATGTTCCTGATCTGTTATGCGGTTGCTTGAGTTCTGTTTATAGAATACGTACTTTATATTCAGGAGCAAATACTACAAGCAGGTGCATGGCACTGCAATGGGATCTTCTGTGTCCGCCACGGTCGCAAACCTTACCATGGAGGCTGTTGAAAACCGGGCTCTCGCTTCATTTGCTGCCCCACCCAAGACTTTCCTCCGATATGTGGATGATCGTTTCTGTGTTTTGCAACGGGATGCCCCGCCAGTATTCTTGGAACAGCTAAATTTCGTGGAAGCCGCGATACAGTTTACCGTGGAAGAAGAATCAAACGGCTGCCTTCCGTTCCTTGACGCCCTCGTGAAACGAGACGGTAGGCGCCTGACTTTCAGCGTGTACAGAAAAGAAACACACACCGGTCGTTTTCTAAGCTTCAATTCTGTGCACCCATCCTACCATAAACGTTCTGTTGTGTCTACACTCGTAAAGCGCGCATGGAGGATTTGTTCTAAGGAAGAAGACGCAGTAGAAGATGTTGAGTCCGTTCGACGGGAGCTGGCTTCTTGCGGATACCTGCTTTCCTTCATGAACTCGGTGCAGCGACAACTGCAGCGTCCGGCTCAGTCACACACCATAGCTACAAGAAAATGCACATCGGTGCCTTACGTCCCAGGCTTCATCGAGACCCTCGCTCGGGTATTGCGCGGCTACGACGTTCAAGTGGTTCACGTTCCGACACGAAAGCTCCGAGGCCGTCTTACAAATGTCGAAGATAAGTTGAACAGACATGATTTTCCCGGCGTGGTGTATAAAATTCCTTGCAAAGACTGAATACGCATACATTGGCGAAACGGGCAATTACAAAAGAAGGCTCCGGGAACATTTTAATAACGTCAAGAACAAGAAAGTAGTTTCTAATGCCCTCGCAGAACATGTTGCGTCTACCGGGCACGCTATCGACTGGGATAAAGCCTGAATCATTGCCATGGAAAGAAAGTTGTTACTACGATTGCACATGGAATCTCTGGCCATTCAAACTACGGCGCACACGTTGAACAGAAATATTGGGACACTCCCCCCTGTGTACGCGCGATGTCAGCAACACGTGATGAAACATGCATAAGAAGAGCGCACTACCCCATTTGCGGTCACTGTGAACGAAGCTCCCGCGTGGGGAGCCGAAACATCTTTTTAAGTTTTGTGTATTTCACCTTGGTCGGCGTTTTCGTTATTATATCCCAAATGCAATGGCCCTGTCGACTCTACAAAGGCAACAATATGAGGGAAGTAGTCATGCCTACACTTTTTTTTCTTCAGTTTGAACTATGGAGAACGAAATGGCGCTGAAACGTGGTAGTTGGTTATTTATGATCGTAAAATTATAATGCAAAAAATTATGAACGTTTGCCTGTGTATGTTTGTCTACTGTTGTTTTTCTTGCGCTGTTACTGTATCTTAACTTTACGCAAACTACTCCAACCTCAAAGACGAGAAAGTGGTTTGTTTATCGCCTTTGATACGCTTTAGCTACTCCAAAACACGCGGACAAGTCCAGGCTTAAACGGGTAGTCTACTTGGCTATTACGCTTTTCAGCTACAGGTTGGTACCTGCTCTCACGCAATCGAAACCACAAAAAAGACTACGTGATTTTTTTTAGGAGCGAAGCTTCTTAAGGCGTGGGCTGTGCGTCCCCTGTATGTAGCCACCTCTCGTTCAGTTCTAAGTATTACGCTAGCCACCGCCCGATCTAAAGGGTACAGCCATATCCATCCGTCCATCCGTCCGTCCGTCCGTCCGTCCGTCCAAAAGATGCAAGATGTTATAAACTAGACGGCGGTACGTGTAGTTGATTATGAAAGATGCGAGGTGTTATAAAATAGGAATGATGCCACATATGGCGCGTGTCATCGTTCGATATAGTGCGGCGACGTACGCTAGGGGGAGCGTTGCAATAAAATCAAGTGGGCAAAATTTACGGAGGATTCATGGTTTACCAGGTTTACCTCCGGAGCTTCGCCCACTCATCATCATTCACTTCGTGGATATGGCGGCATCTTTTAGTTGATCTCGCACGGTAGTCATTGCGAGACAACACAGAATGGTAGTGCAACTTCATATGGCGAAGCAAGGTGGGTGATTGTTTCCAAGTAACATTCCTCATGCAAAGACCAACCAAGAGCTTATTATCTGATGATGTCCCTTGAGAAGACTGCTAACGTTATTAATTGTGCCGAAAAGAAGGGAAACTCCGGGATATCCTGCAAACACGAGCACGTGACATAAACAGTGACTTGAGATGAATGGTTCTTCAAGTTACGTGCTTATATTTCAAGCACGATGAGTAACCAACTTGCCCAATCAGCCATTTTGGCCACGAGGTGATAACGCGCCCGTGTACGCGTAGAGGCTCTTTACGGGCCCTTTAAACCGCGGGCGCAAGTAGGTGTGCAAAATCATGCCACCTGCGGCATCCTACGTTTCACGTGAGGCACCTGATTCATGAATATGATCCAGCTGCGGTGAGTTACATACCAGACGTAACGTAGCGCAGTTGGCGGACGGTTTCAGCACAGGCATTATTGCATATGTATTAGTCAGAAGGTCACTCCAACCTTTCTCCCTCTCTCTCTTTGTCGGCGCATTTTTACTGTGTATCCCGTGCTCCCGCGGCAATGACCTGCCTCTGATGCACCGAAACGCATTTCTCTTTAGCTTCGTGAGCCACATGTTGCAATTTCGTTCAACAGGACGAGGTGGTACAACTCTAAGTGAAGCGATATTAAAAACGCTTGCAGGAATCTGGAGCTGCACCTGCAAGAGTAGAACGTGACAGCGTAACCGTGATAGCGTAACAAAAGCGTCTGGCATAATTCTTCATCGTAGTCATCCACAGCACAAAAACAAAATTGCACTAAGTTCCTTCCAAGTGTGCAGCGGGTAGCACGCTTCTTCTAAGAATTACAAAGGATGGCATAGTGAATGCCTGCATATACTACACAATGATTTATGGTGTAGTGGGTACCCTGCAAGTGCGCTTGCAGCAGTTCCAAATAAAAAGGCTCTGAAAGGCCGCTCTTCCAGCTTTCGCTGTGACAGTGATTCGTGTTCCGCGCAGGCCTGGCGGATGTTATGTTGTTATGTTATGTTATGTTATGTTATGTTATGTTGTTATGTTATGTTATGTTGTTATCTAATGCTTGCGTTTTGGGTAGTGCACAAACG